AAAATTCAGATACTACTCTATTTATAGGAATTGGGAAATTAAGTAAATGAATGGCAGATGATGTGAGCCAGATTTCTTGCTGTTGGAATGGAAATTTACAGATCAGCAAAGGGAGGAAGTTATTATGATACTTGTCGTAATGAGGAATAGGAATAGGGAGCCTTAAAACGATGGTTCATCCTAAGTCTGAAGCAGGAAATATATGATGAGCTTGGACTATTTTGTAGTGCGTTGACTTCACTAGCCTGAATGTAAAGAATAAAATAAAAAACTCACATTGATGAAGGCACATTAAAGGGACATGGGGTCCAACACATACTTCCAATGGCCAAAGGTAAAGTACTGGTTTATAACTCAAAGTATAAAATAAGCACCAATGAATTATTTATATCCATAATATGAATAAGTTATTGAATAAATTAACAAATCAGGAAAAACAGACAAATCTCTCATGCAAAAGTCCAAGTAAGGTATCTGGATACTCCACTCTAAAGGAAAGTGGGTTTCACTGCAAGTGTGATCACATGGTGAATTCTATGAAAATGGGGGAAAAAGCATGTTTACAATGGATAAACCTGATAAACACTATTCAACCAGGTGATTGAGTTGAAGAGCAACTGTTATGAATCAAGTTGATAGTATGTACCCTCAAATATCAAAAAATGATGATTTATCCCTGTGCCCTTCCCCAAAACCCATACAATCTGATCATGAGTGAACTATCAGACTGATTCCAGTAACAGGGCATTGTATCATGTACCTGCACAGTGTTCCTCAAAATTATTGTTTTTATGAAGCCCATGTGAGAAACTATGGCAACCGAGAGGACCTTAAGGAGACGTGCCCACTAAATGTAATATAATATCCTGGATAGAATTCTACAATAGGAAAGGGGCGTAAGGTAAATTCAAGGAAACATGAATAAATAATGAATTTTAGTTAATGATATATCAATAGTGGTTCATTAAATATTTAAAATCTACTAAATTAATATAGTTAAAATAAGGAAAACTATACAAGGAATATGTAGGTACTGTCCATACTCCCTGCTGTATTTTTCTGGAAATCTAAAACTTTTCCAAATATAAAATGTATTAATAAAAAGAGATATGTACTATTTGCCAGGAACCAATACTTGGATCAATTTTAATGTTATTTTATCTTATCCTTATAGCCAATCTGCAAGAAACACAATAGTATAAACAAAAGATCAATAATTTTATAAGTACGATTTACTAGGAGCCATACTTGGATCAATTCTAATGTTATTTATCTTATCCTTATAACTAATCTGCAAGAAACACAATACTATAAGTAAAAGATCAAGAACTTGATATATCAGCTGAGTGTGGTAGCCATGTCTGTAGTCCCAGAGCTCTGTTAAACTGAGGCAGGAGTAGTCGCATCAGGGTAGGCTGGGCTACATAGTGAGTTCAAGGCTAGCCTAAATGACATAGTGAGACCTTGTTTTAAAAAAAAGATTTAATTTATTTTAGTTTGACTACAAATTCCATAGTTTTTCTACTAGATCAGCATTTTTCAAAATATGTCCTCTGGAACACTAAGACCATTACAAACTCATGGGGGGAAACGTTAAAAAAAATGATTTACATGTTAGTATGTTAGAGAAATCTGTCTTAGAGCTCCTGACACTCCTTAGGGATTCCTAATAGACATGCAAATACCATCATCCCTCTATACCTATAGATTCAATATCCACAGACTTAACTACCAGGGACCGAGAATACAGGGGAAAAAGTTTTAGCTGTATTGAACATGTACAGGCCCCACCCCCGTCATTCCCTAAATAGTAGAGTATAATGACTATTTACATAACATTTACATTGTACTAGGCATTATAAACAGTCTGGAGAAGATTTAAAATAGATAGCAGCATGCATTAAGGTTATACGCAAATATTGCACCGTTTTAAAGAAGGGGCATGAGAATCAAGGACATATCTGTGGGAGGGTCCTGGAACCAGTATCCTGTGGACACCAAGGGGCAATGATGTAGGATTCTAAGAGATCTTACACAAAAGAAATCTGCTTAACCTTGTAACATGGTTTTCACTAAGTCCATTTTGTACAGAATCTACTTTCAACATAATTTTGCCTGCACTGGCCATGCTCCAGAAGGCTGCCTCTCAGAGACTATGGTAGATTGTGATGAGGGTCTGTAGGCTCCATAGATTCAAGACTTGATGAACTGATAATCTGTAGCAGATTTATTGTTCAGTTTTTCAACATCCACTCACCACTTCTTCCTTTCTAATAAGGAAATTTAGCTTGACAACTGTAAGGCTACATTTCCCTCGTGTTATGACCAGGTGATTAATTTCTAGCCAATGAGATAAGTGAGGGACACTGATTAGATCCATAAGTTGAACTGTAAATGGAACCTTATCAAGTACAGTACTCTCAAAGAGGTGCAAGTTCTCTTTCCCTCTCCCCTGCTTCTTCCTGCTTGCTCAAGTATGTATGCTGTAGCTGGAACTCTAGCAGCTATAGTGAACCATGAAACAGCAGAGTAAGGATGATAAAGCAGACAAACACAAAAAACAAGACTCCTGAGACATGGAGATGCCATATCAGCCCTAGTCTTTCTACCTCCAGACTTGTTTTACAACAGAGAGATATGAAAGATACTTCTATCTTTTTTTAGCTGCTATTATGATTTTTAAATATAATTATATTGCTTGATTGGCTAGGTTGTTACATGTAGCTGAAGTGAATCCTAACTGATACACATTCTGATTTAAAATAAGGCAGTCTAAGAAGAAATTCAATAAAGCACTGATAATTTGGGATCATCCGGGGTCCAGGAGGGAAGATCGTTATTCCCTGCTAATAATGGCATGGAGTTTTAAGTAGGTCAGTTCTTGGGAAATCAGTGATGGCCATCTCTTTTTTATTCAAGTATTAACACACAAGCATCATTCTCTGCCAAAGCATTCATAATTTCTGAGTCAGACCTAGGCGCTTGTCCATTTAATGGCACTCCTTGTAAAACGATGTGTTGCGTGAAAATGTCAGTCTTCCAGTTACGAGGTTCACCACTTGAGAAAAGTTTAGACATCCCCTCATCGTAATATCCCAGCCACAGGCCAAGAAAGTCAGTTAAGCTTAAGACATACTTGGATGACTGAGTATATAAGGGATCTTGTCTAAGCATTCCAATCAGATAAACCTCCAACAGCAAGACAACAGGGTTATTAGCTCATGTGGTCTTTTTAGATTTTGGTCTTTCCATTGAAGCAGTTTTTCCTGTAGGGGTTGCTTTTTTTATACTTTACATTTAACCCAACTCAGAACAGTTAATTGTCCTTTGTGAAGTTACAGCATCCTCCGCCAACTCCTTTATCTCAGGTTTGATGCATATGACAACTGGATCATGGCAGAAATTAATTATGACCCTTTGTATTTGGGTCCAATTTACCAGATGACACAGAACCATGGGACGTGCAGCTCAGATTTGGCCACATGGAAAATGAACAACTTTGGGCTTACTATTTTTCAGTTTCTCAAACACAGACTGGAAAGTTGGTTGGATTGGTGAGGTGTGAAGCTGAGGGGCAAGGAATAATAGGTCTCAGAGGACTCAAGACTCCAGTGGCAGAACTCTCCAATCAGGGAAGGTACTCAGAACATTTTTATGACCATAGTAGAATGCATATTCCTGGGTATCTTGATGATAAGAGTTCAAGAAAGCCCTTTATTTAAATTTATTATTCTCTAAATATATAGATTTCTTTACATTGCAGTATAAAATGTGCCTAAATGTTGCAAATAAGATTGGGAAGTTTTATTTTCTCACTTTGTTCCCAAAAAAGAAAAGTGAGAAACCCAGCCCTTTGAATTTGAAAGCCTTTAGGAAGTGCAGACCTCTCAGCTTTGCTTCAGACCTCACTTTACATGCTATCCTATCTGCCTAAACCTGCAGGTACTTGTACTTCAGTTCTCTGGAAACAGAAATTTAGCTTCAGAGCCCTCCATATTTAAAACTCTACTTGTGTTCCCTAATTCATAAGTATTCATTTTATAAGTGACCATCCAAGTGAGAAAATAAAGGGTTATTTAATAAATGGTGTTCAGACTGTAGTAAATTTTTCCAATTAATAGACAGAGAAACCCAGGCCTATGAATAACAAAACAAGTAACTTACTGAGGCCAGCCAGAAAGAACCACTGTATGGTATAGATACTACTTGTATATCCATTTTAAAAGCAAAGAAATTTCACTTTTCAACAACAGCCACATAGCTACTAAAGTGGCACACATGCTTAAAAATAAGTGCATTTCTCTAGCTTTTTCTTCTTATTTTTCCTTAGTTAGGTCCTAAATTTTCTCTAGTGAGAAGTCACCTTTTATAAAGAAAAATTATGTTTAAAAAAATTCCCGCAGAGAAAATGGCCAGTGCTGTTCATGTCCCATCTGCCTTCCCCTTCCTCCCAGCACTGAGTACTCAGGCGCATGTGGTGAAGACAATCAGCACTGAAGTGTTCAGAAAATCTAAGCAAGCAGAAGTGTGGGCAGGCAACAAACCACAGAATCAGCTACAGCTTCCAGCCAAGCTTCTTAACCATTCTGGAGTCATGCAGTTTCACTCTTAGGATCTAATGAAAGCTGAAGACCTTCTTCCCAGAAAAATGCACCTCGGCTTACTCACACACAACTCAGTGTGTTTCCAGAGCTATTCATCCACAAGAGACTCAGAAGAACTGACCCCAGCAGCAGCTTCCCAGACAGCACCAGTCCAGTCTGTGGTGAAAAGTAAACCGTTTCTAAGGGAACGGCACTCTTTCTCCTCTGCTTGCATTCTAATTTGACTGCTAGTGATTGCTGTGGGTGACCTAGTCGTACTTTTAAAAACATAAACCATTTTAGGAGAGTCAAACCATTAACGCCTCAGTTTAAGTAAATCCATTCAGTCGCTTTTCTTCTCACACAGGGGCAAGATCGGACACATTGGAGGAAGGAGAGTTTTAATTATTCTGGAGTCTGGAGTACTTCGGGGAGTGAGATAGAGCTGGAAAATGACATAGGTCATGGAGCTCTAGGAGACTGTGGAGGAAACAAGAGGAGAGAGAAGAGTGTACCACAAGTAATAGATGATTTCAAATTAAGCTTCACCTGGTCTAGGAGAAGGGAAACTGAATTTTAAAAATTACTCACTGTGTGCCAGGAATAGTGAAAGTCAGTTCATTACATCATCACATTTAATTATCCCAAAAACATTTATGTTATTTTCTCCTATTTTATAGATAAACAAAACCTCAGAAACTTGACCATAAAGTATTTGCCCAGATTAACTGATTAGTGACATAATAGATCCACTGAACTCTGATTTACTTTCTTCCCAAGCCATTGTCCCCAAAATGATTTCTTTAGCTTAGACTGTAGCCATTATGTGTAAAATTTTCCTTGAAAACAAAAATGTAGGTCAAAGTGTTTCCTTACAAATGAATGTCATTGGTAAACACAGCCTGTTTCTCAAATGAAGCCTGCCAGTATTCATCCTGGTCATCATGCTGTTCTTTTGCTTCTGGTGTGGGGTGAGATTTTTCCCAATATACAGAATTGTCCTGATGGGTGTTCCTTCAATCAATGCTTGCTTTTTTAGATGATCTCTCTGAAAATCTGCTGGCATTTTCCAAACATATGCCTGGGTGCTATTTAACTGGAGAGCTATGAATATTGTGAAATTCAAGTTTACATATGTTTTCAAACAACATATTTTAAATATAATTGTTTGAAGCCAGAAAGAGGAAGCTCATTTATTCAGCTTTCATTTGACTGATATCTGTCGAGTATCTACTCGGTGCCAGGCCCTGTGGTAGGACAGAGGCTGCAGCTGTGAACATAGCTGCCTTCTGCAAAGAGGCTATTTCCTTAAAACCTCTTCAGCAAAGTTTGAGATACTTTTTTATTAAAGTGCCCTTGTGGAGAAAAAGTTTTTTAAAAATCAATGTATGGAGAAGAAAAGGCATGGAAATAGCCTTTCCATTGCATAAAATATAAATCATCTCTAGATTCTGCTGCTTATTTGGTACACTTAATTTTTTTTTTTTTTTTTTGGCTGAATGCCTGTCATTCAATCAGAAACACAGTGTTTGCTCTGTAAGGAGTGCACTGCAAGTTGTAGTGGAGGAAGTACCACAATTTAATAGAAGAGGCCAGGCAGTCTAAAATAAACAAGAAAGCTCTAGGTCAGGTGTCAACAAACATTTTCTCTAAGGGGCTTAACACTGAATTTTAATTTTAGGTTTTCCAGCCCATATGCTCTCTGTTGTACCATTATAGCAGGAAAGCAATCATAAGCAATGCATAAACAAATGAGCTTAGCTGTGTTTAAACAAAGCTTCATTTACAAAAACGCAATGAGCTGGTTGCTTGATCAAGAGGCTGTAGCCAGCTGGCCTCTGCTCCAGGTGAAGGCAATTTTTCTATGATATATACCATACCCTCCAGTTGACAATTGGACTGGTGGCACATTAGGTCTCTCTTTCTCCCTCACCACAGGACATGGGTTCTTCCCAAAGTGACAAAGCTATCTTTCCAGATAAATAAGCCATGCTTGGGTCAATGATTTTTTATTTTATTTTATTTTTTTTGGTACGGGGCTAGAACTCAGGACCTTACACTTAGAGACAGGCAAGGACACCACTGAGCTAAATCCTCAGCAAGTCAATGATTTTTTAAAATCACTATATTCCTATGCCAGAGCTTCCAATAAAATTACACATAAACCCATTTTCCAAAATTAAAACAGTAAGTTAAAATTATAAACAACTGGTAAGAAAAGTGGGGAGGCCCTTGCAAATGTGAAGTTGAATAGGCTCAGATTCAGGTGAGTGTGAAGGCACAGGGAGAGCAGGTCAATAGCAAAAAGGGCACACTCAGGCAGGAATGCAGCAGGAGGTTTACACGGGAGGACAGGATGGATCCCTGCAGTTGGAATTTAAAATGGACTTGAAAAACAACATGGCGGGGGGGCAGTAAGTAAGGGACAAATACAATGTAGTAAGAGTTGAGGCAGGAAGAACCTAGAGTCTGAAAGCCAAAAGAGAACCAGGTCAGTATTCCAGGCATAGCATGCTGAAAATGTGCACTCCAACCAGGGCTGTGGTTAATACTGAGAGAGATCAACAGGACTTGGTAAATTGCAGGTGTAAGGTGAAAGAAAAACTATAGCAGCTATAAACCTTGACCAGGCCGCCTACTCTGCCAGCACCAGAGCAGACCTGATGGGTGTCATAATCCCAACTCAGGCGCTTTGCTTACAGAGCAGAGATGGGCTGAAACATGATCTTGATGTAGAGCTCTCTCACACAGCAGTAGGGACAGATGGTGTCATCATCCCAAACTGCACACCTCACATATGCAGCTAATGACTCCAAGCTAGCCCAGTACTTGTTTATTCAACAATCCCAGATGTTGTCTGCCAATCAGCAACACTCAGAGGCATTGCTTTCTAATATAGGACATACACAGTTCAGTTTTGTTTTGTTTATCTGTTTAGTCTTTAAAAGGCCTCTTCTATTTCCCCTCCCCTGAGCCTCATCCCCTAAGAGTGCTTGTGTTCACTAGGTAGGCAGTCTTGGTGTTTTAGTATTCTTCTTTTCTCTTTAAAGAGATGAACCCCAGTTTCTCCTTCGCCACTGATTCCTACACTTGTCTTACTTTTAGTTAGCTTCTGTTATTTTGCTTCATTTGCTTGTTTTCTGGTTTTTTTTTTTGCATCTTTGTGTTCTGCTCCTCCTTAACATCCATCCTATTATAATGGGATGCATTTATTGTTAATATATAGAGAGATTTATCTATAATTTATTAAGCATCGCTAATGATGCATGTACCAATGCAACAGGAGGAGTTTCTTTTAAAGCACTGATAATAGTAAAATTTTACATTGTCTTAGGCAAGATTACAAACTAAAAACTCTTTAGAGTCAAGCAGCTTACATAAATTAATGAGAATGACAGATGTTAAACCTGTTGGGAACTGGTCATTCATCTGAGGGCACCCTGATTTAAAACATGGTTCTATCAAAATCAAACATGTCTCTGAGCTATGTGACCAAGCCAATTAGTTTAGCAGTTTAGTCTTTATGAACTCATATACTTTTGCATAAGAAACCATGAGGCAGCCTGGACAGGCATGAGTAAATTTATTTTACCAACATGTAAACAGGTCATAGCACCCTTCCTATTCACCTGGATGAAGTTGTAATTATTATTTTAATAAGATAATCTAAAGTAGGTATCAGTATAGCAAATGGTCTCTGAAGACTTCTCCCTGTGGAGTTAGTCCTTTTAGGAGAGCAATGTGTAATAATGTACAATGCTGAATGTGACCTCTCATACCTACAGCCAGAAGTCTGAGTCTTGAACTCCTTAATCATCCTGTGCTTAGATATAGGCCAGTGTAAACAGTCTCTGAGGACCACCCATCCTTGAATTACTTAGCTTATAGAGTGCAGCTCTGTTACTAGTGTTTGTCCTTGAGTCCCCTGGTTGGTAGAATCATTCTCATCAACTACATCTTGAGAATAAACCGGAAGAAAATAAATTGTGTTTAGTCTGTTCCAGCACTCAGGTTTGAAGCATGTGTGTGAGCTGGCTGCTCACTCCAGTGGCTGGGAAGGGGAAGAGCATATAGGCTGGGATGTGTTCGGTCACCCTTTCTGAATGTTGCTTTTGAAGCTCACAGCAGTATCTGGGCTCCAAAGGAAAGGAAGCATGTAATGTGTGAAAAACTAAAAAGCTGTGCTGCTTCTAAGGAGAGACTGTGAGTCCAGCACATTTTTCTAAATTCTTTGGGGAAAAGACATAATTTATCTCTTTAAATTCCCAGATAGTATCTTGGTGCTTCTGCTGTAGTCAGTGTTCAATAAACATGGGTAGAAACAGATGTCCTTTTCTATGTGTTTGAAAGAGGTATAACCCTTTGGTTGAGTGGGAGAGTGTTCAGAGGCTCCACTTTAATGGCAGTAATGTTAGGGAAAACTGGGTGGTTGAGGTTGCTCAGAGATGGTGCCAGACTAGATGCACCTCTATCTAGAAGAGGATTTCATGAATGAAGAGCCTCATAAGCTGAAACCAACAGACAGGGGTTCCCTAAGGAGGAGAACAATAATCCCAGATCTGGAGAAATGGTGAACATTGATGTGAAGAGAATCACCAGGAATAATGACATGACTGGACACTAGGAAAGTGCCACAGAATGGAATTCCCCAGAGAGAAGAATCTGCAGTTAACATGCAAGACGCTTACTACAAAGAATCCTTGCAATTAGTACCTATGGCAGGAGATGAAGGCAGCAGGGTTGGAAAGAGAGAGCAGTGGGTCTGTGATGCAAATCTCATATTAGCCTTGGTTGACATTGAAGGGAAAGCTGGAGCTAGAACAGAGCTTCAGCATTATCCCAAGTAAAGACAGGATACCCACAGTTTGTCATAGCTAAGACTTGGAAACAGCCCATCTGCCCATCCATTGGAAACTGGATAAACATGTGGTTTTTCTACAAAATGGAATACTACTCAGCCATAAAGAATGAGAAAGCAGATTCATCCATAGTTAAATGGGTACATTTTGAGGATATACTTCTAAGTGAAATACATAAGGAAGGCACACATATGCAAATATCGAATAGTATCTCTGGTGTGAAAAACTATAATAGTACTCAAGATCCTAATGGGACACTTAGCAAATAGGAAGAAAAGGACCAAAGGTGTAGGGACAGTGAGGATAGGGAAGGGGGAATAAGGGAAAAGGAAAAAAATATGAGAAAATGTAAAAATGGAATTAAAGTGTTTGAAGGGGGAGGGGAGGGGAGGGTGAAGGGAGGGTGGGGAGAAGGGGAAAAAATGAGAACCAAGACCTGGCATGTAAAGGTACAAGATCCTAGTAATGAATATAACTGTACTGTCTACCTAGAATGTACCAATAAATTAAATTTATAAAAAAAAAAAAAGACAGGATGCCCAGGCTCTTATTTCCCCCATGGGATAAGCCTGATAATGTCAGTTACTGGACATTAGCTGTCCTGGGGAGGGGAATTACCTT